CAAAACGACAATTACAAAAAAACGAAAACTAAATAAAAACTACAATGAACAATGCAAAACTAACTAAAACTAAACTGAATTGCAGATAAATTCAGCTTTGTTTTCTCCCTCGATTCCTGCCTGTCCTGCAGGTGATGGTTAAAGAATGAAATTAAAGGACTCGATAAACCATATTTTTGTCACACATTGTTTCATCCTTTTTCAGTTTCTACAAGTCAAGGCTTTCTCTTAATACCTGGAAAAACTAAGACTAAAACTAAATAAAAACTAAACTGAAACTAGTCGATCCTCAAAATAAAACCTAAACTGAAACTACAAAATCACTTGTTGAACTAACTAAAACTAAACTGAAATAAAAAAGCAAACTGAAAAACTAAATAAAAATAAAAACTAATGAAAATTTCAAAACTATAAAAACCTTGGTGTGATGTCTTTTTCTTTATTGCATTCATTTGTTTCCAACAGTTTGTTGTCTGTTATGTTTGTTTGTCTCAGGTATCGCATCGAGTATGAAGCCTTGTCCAAGGTGGAGTCGGAGCAGAACGAGTTCATTGACCAGTTTATTCTGCAGAAGTGATGATGTGACTGAGACCCTATTCATACCTGGTATTAACATCCGTCCTGAGGGATCTGATCACAAGTGGTCAGCACTAAGTACAGGTTTTAACTATGAGGTCTGATCACTCAAACCACATCAGAGGTGGTCTAGGACGCACATTTCCAAATTCCAAATGCGTCCTCCTCTGCTGACATACTCTCCCCCACTATAGTTTCAAAACGACGCAAACATACATATGCTTCTCAGTGTAACTACGATCTGTTGCAGACTACCATCACAATATTAACACTGACCACCACTTAATGCCCAATACTTTTCTTAAATTAGTAAAGTATTTCTTCACAGCTGCATGAGAATCATTCAGCCGCTCCTTACTCCTCTCTCTCTCTCTCTCTCTCTCTTTCTCTCTCGCTCCCTCTGGCACACTCAAACAGGTTTTTCGAGTGTGTCAGACTGTGTGACAACATAATTTGGTCTTCTTGATGACATATGATGTATGTGATTATTTGCATGTAGCGCAAGGGAGTAAGATCTGAGTCTTAGTGGTCACAGGAGACACATTCAAGACAGATTTTAATACCAAGCGTTAGCAGGGCCTAAGAGAGCAGAAGATGTGTGACCTGTGTGCCTGTCCTTTACTCTGGGTAATACTGACCTCAGAGAACTACTCTGCTGCTCCACCTTCATCCTAAAACACCTATACCTTCTCTTAACACCCTCTATCTGCCTGTGTGTTTAAATTAACTGTAGTGGTTCTTACCCTGGTCAACAGCTGAGGATTTCCAGTGGTGTAAGCTTGAATACACTTGAAACATAAGCTTTGTTTGCACCAAATATCTCTACATCTCAGACCAACATGAAAGATGAAGCCATTTATATTAAGAACTATTATTTATAATATTTATACTGAAGAATAACCCTAAATATCTAGTTTTATTACTTTTTGTATCAATCAAAATACTGCATGTGCATGCATTTGTAAATACATAATGGTTTTAAACGGTGGAAAAACAACCTCATTTGATCATCTGTGCGTTTTTATTTAATTTTTCTGGTAGAACCAGTCTGTGGGCACAAACAATGACAAATATTTCCCCTTCTTTCTGCCATGTTTAGTATTGTCTTTTATTCATTATAGGACTAATGGTTATACTTGAATAAATACTGTCAATTGCACAAAAAGTACCATGTGTTGCTGTAAAGCTGCCTGACAGGCAGAAGTGCAAATTTTTACATTGTGCTATTATGGATTGTTTCAATAAACATGACTCGATATCCATATATTTCAACCCTGCTCAGTTGTTCCTATGCTCTCAACAAGTGCAAATCATGGATCGAAATGAAAATGCATTGTACCAACTTCCAAGTCTCTATGACCTTCAGAACAAAAATTATTCAAGAATATCTTGATCTCCAATGGGTTTTCCTCCCCAACCCTAACCGTGGCTGCTACCCTAACCCTAATTGCAGCCCTAACCCTCATTTCAGCCCTGACCCTATTCACCCTAGGGTGAATAACTCTGCGCTGCTTGCTTGAAACAGGCTGAAATTTGGTGTGGATGAGTGGCTGTCTCCCCTTTATTATGTGTGAAATGCCTAAGTCTCTACGACTTTCCAACAAAAAGTTATTCAAAACTATCGTGTACTTTTTGGTTGAGATTTGGTGGTTTGACCCCTTCCGGAGGTCGTAGAAGCTCGGGGGTGGTGCCAATGGATCAGGCATCCCCACATTAGTTCAGATGGAACTAGGGTTGCAAAGGAGCTGAAAATTTCTGGTAAATTTCCGGAAACTCTCCATGGGAAGTTAAGGTGGGGAATTTTGGAAATATTCCAAATTGGAAACTTTCCATGAGAATTATGGGAATTTATGGAAATTAACTGTAAATTGGGGGTAATTTAAACAAACTGGATCATATCCAAATATAAATGTAAATATTTTTGTTTTGTCATAAGCAGACATCCATGCAAAATAATACAATTAAAAAACATGACATTTCAACAGATTTATTTGAGTAGAACTTTAGTTTTATTTCTTGTATGAACAATTCTTTAATGAACAACAAAAACATGAATGTTGAGTAGCCTCTTAAATGGTCAATGAAATGAAAACTAGCTTACATTTAGCACCTATTTTGATTTAATATTTCCAAGTTAAACATCAATACTATTATAGATCAAATATATTTACCCCATAATATTATCAAAACTTACTTGACTTCAGATAGTCCTCGGGCTCAAATGTGTGGCTTCAATAGTCTTGAAATCAGATGTGCATGTGATGGAGGAATGCACAGTGCATGTAGGGGGTGTGGCCTCAATAGCCCTGCAGTAAGCAGTGTGCTGTGTGCATGTGATTGAGTGTACGTGAAGTAAATATGGTTGTTTTTGCTAAGATTATGCTACAATATATTTTCCCCAACTATATTTAAATTCCCTGTTGAGGGCCAACCTCCAATTTTGTAAATTTCAGATTTATTCCCGTTACTTCCCATATATTCCCGTTAATTCCCATAGAAAGTTTCCAACTTTGAAAATTCCTGGAATTTTGCAACCCTAATTGTGTGTAATGTAATTTCAAAGTGGAGAGCAGTTATTAGTGCTATTTTGCATGGAAATCTACTGTAGATGTTTAACACACCAATGTTTGAACATGATTTCCTTGAACTGCTTCAGATTTTGTAAGAAAGTAGCTGCAGTCAGACCTTTCAGGTCATATCTTTATCTCTGTGTCTCGTGAAAATGAGGTCATCTGCATCTGATTTTGGAAATCATCAATATTAGCTCCCCCCTCCAAAGAAACAAACATTAAAAGTGGTAAATATATATCATGACTTTTAACCTCTTGTATAGTTCAACCTCCAAAACTGCTTCAAGGTAGGTTTTTTTTTCTGAAAGACTTCTTCGTATTTGGTGAAATCCTCTGTGTCACAACAACCATCAATAGCCTGAAGTTAGTGAGCGAGTCACAAAAAAGTCGAGTCAGTCAGTGCACGTTCACGTGTTTTGGGGGCGTAGCCTTGACAAGAGGGTTGATAGATGGTGGGATGTTGCTAGCTTTTCCAGGATTATCCACTCTAGGTTTAATTCCAATAGTTCCCATAATGCAACATTGTAGCGTCATGCAGATTTTTCTCTCACTAGTGACTTATGTTTGACATATAAAATTTTAACAGCACAAAAGGGCTGATAAGAGGCTTTTTGAGTCTGAAACCAATTTATTAGTTTTTTAACTTTGCCCCAACTAACTGCCTTCACTGGGTTGAATGTATGAAACAGGAATATCTATGGATGATGTCCTTGTGGATGGAAAAGCTGTCTGAAGTACTCAGGGTTACCTCAGCTGTCGAATCTCAAATGCTCAACGGTCTGATGGATACTGTTTTACTATGTTTATCTTGTTTTCTACATTTGTGGATATGTACCTGCCAGAAAAAACGCCAATGTTTTTTGGGGTTGAATGGGGTTTCCCACTTCTCAAGCCTTGTTTTAGCCATTGGTTCACAAATATCCTGTGATGCCCATAAACCCCCTGTGCTTTTTTTGGCCCACTTGCTATTGAAGTTGAAAAGTCCATCCATAACTTTAACACCACCTTAGTTTTATATCCGTCCAGCTTTTGTTTCACTTTCTACAGTTCGAATGATTTGCTGATTTTTAGTGTAGTCGTCTCAGAAATAAAGGTTAGTCACAGCAGACATCTGATCATACATTGTAAATGAGACTACTGAGCTATAATCATTCCTTTATTAAAAAAGACAAACTGTACATTGTCAACACTGTGGCAATTGGCAATGCCAACAGGGTCTCCCAAGAGCAACCAGAGACGAACCACTCGTTTCTCAGCATTTTATTTTCTTGAACCAGACCAAACATATTCACAAAAAAGTAAAGTTAAGGTGTCCAGCAGCTTCTGCTCTGCTGCTGCCTTTTGAATCTGAGGATTAATCAGCAAATACTGTACTTACACTTTTAAATATTCTATTAAACTCTGCATAAGAGGGTCAGAAGTTCAAGTTCCACCTCATTAATTCCACATGTGAGGTGTTCTTGGGCAAGAAATTGAACCCTCAACCCAAAATGTGTGAATGTGAATAAGTTAAAACACTTTCAGTGGACAGCTAAATAAATGGAGTCCATTTACCATTAATACAGCCACTGATTTGAGACCTATTACCATGTCAGGTGCAGCAGTGCAGAGGACGCTCTCTTCTTATGAGCCTCACTTCTTCTTAGTATACTGTCAATTAAAAAGATAATTATTGTATTATTTGTGTAGGAAGACAATGTAAAAATAACTAGTAATATATGAATATCATCTTACTTTATCAAGAATCCACTGAGCATCTGCAACTGCTCTTTGGATTATCATTTGTATTCGCTCTGGGTCATCTTCATCCGAGTGACTCTTGTAACCCTGGGAACAGAAAGTAAAGCATCAGTGAGGTGCTTCATGACCATGACAGAGGCTCAGAAAAGCAAGGTTCTGAGTGAAAAGCCTCAATTGAATAAAACAGAATTGTTTCATGAAGCTAAGTCAGACCTTACAGCACCAGACTAATGTTACATCTTGTTTCATGACGGAGCCACAGATCTGAGACATCATATTAATTCATAACAAAGGATAATTAGTCAAGTTACAGCAAATCTCTGATGCCACCACAAAGCAGCACATGATTAACAAACTGCACTTAGGGTAGAGTGTTCAAATGAAAAAATGTCAACAAAGTCAGATGCAGTTCAGTACAGATGAATTCAGTCCCACATATGCTCAAGTCATGTATATATGATGATTTATATAAGTGCTGAACATGTATTTATAAATGTAAAAGATATCAGAATCAGATGTACTTTATTAATCCCCGTAGGGAAATTAAAATATAATACAAATGACATTAGACTACTTTTAAATATCAAATAGGGCCAAGGGCATGTTTGTTCTGTTCGATTGTGCTGTGTTTGTAAAGAAATGAAAGATCTTTACCACAATCCTCATTTCAAATCACTAAAGAAAATAATTGATGAAAAGTGAACATGTGCTCACATACCTCTATGCTCAACGCCAGAAGAATCAACAATGAAAATAATCTGTAGTTTCAGCCAATTATTACTTAGTTTATCTTGTGTTTTTAAAGATCGGTTATATTAGCTAATAGTAATAATACAATCAAAGTCAGTTACTGAGAACTGGTAATTAACATTTATGTTAAGTGAGTTATATAGCACCTTTCAAGTCTGATGACCCGTCAAAATGCTTTATAATGTATGCCTCATTCACACACTGACGCAGCATCAGGAGCACATAGAGGTTCATTGTCCTGCCTATGGATACTTGAGCTGCTTTCAGACAAGCACTGAAGTCTGGATAATCTCCTAAAATTCTCTGAAGGGGCTGTGTGCGAGAACACAAATGTCACAGTGAGAGCCTCCAGACTTTCTCCAACCAGCCCACAAGTAAAATATTTGAGAATGTCTGAATGGGCTCACAGGGTTCATAGCAAGTGAGTGGGCATGTTGATTATGATTCTAACACGTAAGAGACGCAAGAAAAAAAAGAAAAAATTGTGCAGACATTCTCTGGAGTTCATGTTTGGAAACAGCTTTGGAAACAATGGAGAAGCAGGAGATCACCTGCCTTCAAGTATATGTTGTAAACATCCTTCACAGTTTTGATGCACTGTTTTTGGGGCTCTCTTGTTTTTCCATGAGTCTGTCAGAGTAGAACAGGAGGTAGAGCATTCAGCAACCAGGCTCCTCTCCTGTGGAACCAGCTCCCACTCTGGGTTCTAGAGTCTGTAAGAGGAGAACAGGAGGTAGAACCTTCAGCTACCAGGCTCCTCTCCTGTGGAACCAGCTCCCACTCTGGGTTCGGGAGGCAGACACCATCTCTGCATTTAAAGTTAAACTAAAAACGTTCCTTTTTGAAAAAGCCTATAGTTAGTTCTGGATCAGGTGAGTCCTGAACATCCCTTAGTTATCCTGACACACACACATTTATTTATTTATTTGTCTCTTTTTCCTCCATTAGTTCCTCTCTCTCTCTCTAATTGCAGGTATCTCTGACCCCAGAACTACAGGAGAACTACTATTACTATTATCACTATTATTACTAACAGCAATTCTTAATACTTACTTAATAGAAATTAATTATTATATGAATTGTTGCTGTTATCAATAATAATCAATAACTTCTTTACACTTTTATTGTTTTCATTATAACTAGTCAGAGCTGATACTTGATGTTGCTCAAGTGTTCCCAGTCTCTCTCGCCTCTCTCTCTGTCACGTGTCTGCTTGTGTGCAAAGGTCTACCTGCTACATTTAACATTTAATTTGCTCACCTGTCTTACGGCGTGTTTGTAGTGCTCCTGCATCACTGTGGTCGGCAACTGTCTGCAACATCTGAGGAGATATCGATAGAGCTGCACTGGTGTCTGGATCAACAAAGCTCCACCTGAAGGTGCCATTCCTTCCTCCTTGGGGGTAAAGATATGTGAAGAAACATCGATAAGAGTGTGACATTGTATTCAAATATTTACCTGATAACAATGTCTCTGTTCCTTTTGGAAGTCTGTGTGCTTGTGCAAGAATTCCAAAGTGTCATGGTCCATTCTGTCTTTGATATCGCAATCCAAATCAGAACCATAAGTTTAATTACTCTTATGGAGCATTGGGAACAAACTTATGAATAAGGTTACATAACATGCAGTGATTGGGCTGGGGGACATTACAGGCTAGGCAGGTAGAGAGTCGGGCTGACATTAATGAGAGATGATTGATAAAGCCTGTGATGAGACAGTGTTGGTTTTTATTTATTAAGTTAGGAGCTTAAAGAGGGAAATTTGGTGGAATGGAGAATTGAGGACAGACATTACGAGGCTGATTCATGGAAAAGAGACAAGACTAGTTTCTAATTAAGCTCAAAGGGCGGACATGCTGCTCCACCAGATTCTATATAACTGAATGTAGGAACACAATCATCCATTATCCCTTCAGGACATTGGTGGATAGATCTGATCGCCAATCGACACATGCCTTCAACTTGAGCTACAGATGCAGCTGGTCGAGGACAGGGCGGTTCAGTAGCAAGTTTAAACTTACTGTAGCTGGGGAGTGTGATGAAGGACTCTGTCATCACCGGTCATTACCGGTCATTACAAACACCCCCTGTGCTCGTCTTCTTCTTCTTTTTGTTGTTTACTGCCGGGTGGCACCTAGCGTTAAAGGTGCATTACCGCCACCTACTGTGCTGGAGTGTTTGGTCTGTGGAAATACATAAAAGGTCCAGTGTGTAAGAATTAGGTGAAAGGGATTTTTGGCAGAAATGTAACATGAAACAATCCTAGTGATGTTTTCACTGGTGTGTTTCACCTAAATTGAATGAATTGTTGTTTTCCTACCATAGAAGGGACTCTTTATATCTAAAAGCTTGATGTTGAATGGTGGTTGACAAACAACTTATCGTTGCATTACTGCCACCGGCTGGAAAGGAGTGTCCAAAATGGATATTTACCTAAATTCTGTTATAGAGTCCTGTGTTTTTTAGAAACCTGAATATCCCTATATCCTTCATCACCTGAGTCCCCTCAGTAGTATTTATCTTAGACTTAACGTCAAACTGTTTCTTTGGAGTGTGGACAAACTAAAGATATGTGCTCCATTGTTTTCTGCTGATTACAATTGTCACATCTGCTTGTGTTATGCCTGTTCATTAACTTCAGGGTGCTGTTTAGACCTGTATGACCAAACCCCATGATACTATCACCTCTTCCTTTGTATCTCTTGGTGGTTGTTCTCAATACCTCTCTACTTTCCTTTGAATACCATGAAAGTATGAGCCATTTGTTCCTCTGTCTCATTCCTCCTGCCATCTCTTTTTCAGTCCTGATTAGATTATACTTTTGATCTCATGTGCTTTCTCTAAAATTATGTCTTGTGTCTTTGATGCTTTCAAAGGCACTGCTGGAATCCCAACATATCAATACTTAACTTGGTTGTTTTCTTTCTCAATCCACTTAAACACTATATTTATGGATTAACAGTTCCCCCATAAACACCGCCAGGTTATCACTAACCCTTTTGTTTCTTATAATGTCCATCTCTGGAATGATGAATGCTATTACAATTTTATTGTCCTGTGTTTTGGATGCATCAGTATATATTTTGGTGTATTCAGGATACTTTCCTTCTAAATAATTACCTACTTGGTTTAGGTGTATTCCTTTATCCTTCTGTGTTGATAAGTGCAGATCATCTTTTCCTTCTTTCAAAGTCCAAGGTGGGGTTGGACATTGGGACTTTATTTCTTGTCAGCTATTCCCATGTCTTTCACCCACTCAATTGTACACTTTACTTTTCTTCTCTCCTTTTAATGACATGGTTCTAGTATGCTCTAAACTGAATGAGTATTGATATGTTCCCTCAAGTTTGTCCAGTATATTAGCGTAAGTTGTGATCTTCTCATTTCATGAGGCATTTCTCCCAGAGAAGAAGAGTGGTCTTCATGGCCCAACAACATAACCTCAAAGCCTGGTACTGAATAGTGTCCAACTTTTTTAAACAAGGTCTTAACTCCTGATTCATATAAGACACAAGAGCTTCCCAGGCGACGCTGGCTTTCCCGCCGGCCTTGGAGCAGGAGCAGGGTAAGCTGGTTTCACCGCCGGACTGGGAGCAGGAGCAGGGGACCGTGGCTTCACTGCCAGCCTCGGCACAAGCCCCCCCCTCAACCCCCATGAATAATAATCATCAGTGCTGCATGTTCTAAACTGTGACTATAATTCAAAAGGGGCTGCTTATTACCATGAAGTTCTTTGCTGGTATGTGTGACAGAAATGTATGTCTGCAGTTAGAAGTACACATATGCATATGAAGTTGTATGTCTCCCATGCTCAAAGAAAAATACTTAAAGAATGAAAGTAATAATCAGCAAGTCACACACATCTCTGATCAGTGCTTTTTTATGAACAATAATTTACATCTTACAAAATGAAATAATTATTTAGTAATTATTACTTTAAAAATGTTATGTTTGCAGTACTGTACACACAGTATTTAAAGACACACAGGCTTTACAATTACGATGATCCATAGTTGTTCATAGTGTAAATACATTCAATGCATTTGTGACATATTGCAGTTATTTGGCATTAAATGACAATTGTGTGTGTGTGTCTGCGTGCAAGCATGCGTGTGTTTGTGTGTGCCCATTATTTCAAAGAGATTTTGTCTATCTTGAGTATCAAACACTGTAGGCTGAGAAGACGGCTGTTTGGATCTTATTTGACAGAACAGAGCAGAAGTTACTCAGCATCAGAGCTTCTGATGGACTCATGGGAATAATAACTGGGAAATACTGTTGTCCAATGTGTCTAGTGTCTCTTTCATCATAAGGCAGTTATTACCTCTGCAGAGGAGGTTATATCTTCACCGGTGTCTGTTTATAGGATTTGTTGTTTGATTGGTAGATTATTAATTAGCAGAATTACACAAAAACTACTTAACCAATTTCTGCCAATGTCAGTAAGTTGGACCTTTGTGACCCCAGAGAAGACGGAAATCATTTGTATGGAGACATTTTCTGGACACATTCACATCACATGTACAAAACTAGGGTATGTTTTGTATGTTTAAACTTAAAACAGTTGCAACATTCAAAATCTTGGTTATAAAATCACATCATGTGGTATCTCTGGTGCCCCCCAGAAACCCAATTTTGATTAGCGAAGCTTGGAGCAAGTTCAGTTAAAAGCACTTCAGCCACTTGAGATGAATTGTTGATGCATTTATGTCAAATTAAAATTAAAGACATGTTTAGAAATGTGTAATTCTTTCTGGTTTGACATCACTTTTTATCAGTATTGCCTGTAGATGATACCAAAAGTGTGAGAATCGATTGAACAGCCACAGAGTAGTTTATTTTGCTTTAACTTCTGGCTTTAAGAGCAGAAGATCCAGATGAAGGCTGCACATGTATGGAAATTGATAAAGGTCCTTTGCTTTAATTCCCTGCATATGCTTTCTTAAGTTGCAGTTGAACTTTCAGGACATTTAATGTGTGCATTGTGTCTGTGGGTATTTTACAATGAAATGAACACTAAAAGTTTAAAAAATTGTCCATGCAGCAGTATCTTTAGACTGTTAGGGTTCTTGTCATTTCCATACAAAGCTCTCTACCATACATAGAGCTTTGTGCCATGCATGACACACCACGGTGTGTGGGCCTACAATACACATTCACTACACATTTATATGAAACATGCAGCATCACGTGTTCAAGAATACTGACTCAAGCACTTTAATCATCTGTGGATTTCTAAATACCATCCACTGCTCAATGAAAATCAAGGACAATGTGTCATTGTATGGGAGTTTAGTCACATGTCTCCTGATTATTTTTCATTTCGTGCATATGGTCCTGAATGATGACATTCATCACAGTTACTCATTCACTGCTTTACTTCACTGCTTTCCCCCATTTGATCAATCCAAGGACTGGAGAAGCTGGACACCTTTGGGGTGCGTCTACCTGCCCTCAGACCAACCCTGGCTCCAGTTTGTGGCCCTCCTCCACCTTCTTGGGCTTGTTGGATCCTAAAGGCCTCTCTCAGGTTCTGAGCACGGACCTCTTTGCTCTGGATCTCCTCTACTATTCGACTAGGGAACCAGCCCCTTTCACCATCATGGAGCCTTTCACCCATCATCCAGCCTGTAATACATACAACACAAAAAGTGTTGTGGAGTGGCATAAAGATAGAAAGAGAGACAACAAAATAATCCTAATAAAAAATTCTACTTCATTTTTGGAGTTATTTTACAAACAACAGCTTCAAAGGAGATATATGAGCAAAGTTGTGGCACTACAAACCATCATCTGTTCTCTCTAGGAGGTTCAAAACATCAGCCATCTCAATGGAGAGTTCATCTGGCTCCTGAGATGAGTATGACTGAATACACTGCACCTGGGGAGAGTCTAAAGATTACACACACTTTGAGTTCATGTCTCCATTTCTGGATGTTGAGGACTGCACTCTGTTGGTGTGATATTCTGTCTCACCTGGTTGGTGGGTGTTGGTAGACATAAAGCGTGTGCGCCGGTTTGGAGTGAGAGCGCAAATCCATCGCAGCTTGTCACTCCTGTCCACGGAATTTCATAAATTAGAAAACGGTTAGAGGTACAACAGGATATAAATGTGGACCAACAAACAGATATACTCTACATTCTTCTATTGGTCGACAAACTTGAAGAGATGAGATAAAGCAATGATTTGAACTGTTTTTGTATAGTGGGTCACATCACCCTTTGTTAATGCTCTGCACTAAATTCTGGTGTGTTGTTCATTCTGATTTAGTCCCACACACAATAGCCTATAACTGGATGTACCAGAACTACACCAAGTTTATGTCATTTTCCTCATTTTATTTGCATCAAACACACATTTCCCCCTTGAATTAAAATGCAATGTGATACTCAGATATTGCTCGACTACAAGAATCTACAGGTGTATATACAGGTACTAAGTACAGATTGTGATCAAGTGTAATTGCAATTGTGGTGAAGGACGACAAATTGTTTGGTGGCCACAGCAGTGATATGACTAATAAAAGAAAAATACACTGAATGGTAATGAGTTGTTGCTGCAGTTAATGCAGTGAGTGAGAGTGAATCTGACAGAATGGTACAGTGCCTGAAATAAAAAATGATCGAATTTAAAGGTGGAGGCAAAAAGAGAATTACGTCACGCTGTCAGAATGTGAGAGAACTTGTATCAACTACCCATTTTTTTATCCTCCAAAACTGCAGGATTATTAAATTCAAAGACAATCTATACAATTTAACAAAATTATATTATTACAACAACAGAAAGATAAATATTGATGAGTGTAAATTGCTTTAAGTTGACTTGTATATTTTAGAATTGAAGGTTCCTATGGCGCAGTTTTGTCGCATAAGCACAAATAACACTGCTGGTTTCATGTTTATGATAAAGTGGATCTGTAATCAGGTTTCAACCTCATGTTGTGCATCACAAGTTTTCTGTCTTTGTATGGGTGAGAGGAGCGCACATTTTCCTTTCAAGCTTGTTTTCTAGATTAAGATTCCTCTTTATTGTCCCACACACAGCATGCAACATGCAAACATGGGGAAATTTGACCTCTGTATTTAACCCATCCGTGTGAACACAAAAATAAATGAGGCCCCCTCTTCACATTTGTTTGTGTTGTGCTCCCTGTGTCTGCTGTCATTAAGATTTCCATACAATCATATTAGAGTTTATCTCTTTTTCTCCACCTTCAGTGTGTTTGTTTTTCCCTGCCTTTGTGTGCAGTTTGTCATTGTTTTGATTTTCCAGTCACTCCTGTTGGTATAACACTATAGTTGAAGCACCTTGTTTGCCAGTTTTCAGTTCATGTTTTGCTTTGCTAACCTTCACCGGGACAAACCCGCCAATATTCTTTCAAGTCTATCAAGCCTTCTCAACACCTGAAGCGCTGGATCAGAACCATGTACAGATCCCTCACATGCCTACCCAGCTCTGTTATCCTGGACTCCTGTATCAATTTCGGTCTATCTGCTCACCTCAAATCATGCTTGCAAGTTTATACAATAAACATCTTAAAACTTAAAACCTGCTCTTCCGAGACGGAGAACTGTTCATTCTCATCTGACCCCTGACCGACAAAAACTCATTTTGTTCTTCCTGTCACAAAAGCACCAACAGCTCAGTTTAAGTAAATCTAGTACACATCTGCTTTCACAAATAGAGTCATTCAGAAGTTGATTGGAAGTGGACAGAGACGCATCCCTTCAGTTTCTCTCAGTACTTTAACTTATATCTCATTCATTGCTGCTCCTCTGATTCCACCACAGATACTTACATACTGGCCGTCTTGAGCATGTAGTTGACTTGACGATCCTCTTGGTTTTCCAGTAGTTTAAGATTAAAGGTACTGGCCAGCAGCTGGCCCTGGTCTTCAAGGTCCTCAGTCCTCAACATAGCGCGTGTGCACGAGTCGAGAACCTGGAACTTGTCCCCACTGACAACAAAATGGCTTAGTTAACATTCCCTCCCTTCAGTGCAACAACTGGCTGACATGTGTATCACTCAGATACATACTGCATATCTATATACATAGGTGTTATGATGCAGTTGAATTGTAGTCTGTTGTACTGACAGGTGATTCTATTATTTTGTCCATCCAATTTATGTCTGTGAACATGAGTGCTAAATTACAACCATCTGTCTGTAAAATGCAGTACAATTACACAGCAGTACAAATGCTCCTCTCTAAAATAGTAAGTTAAACATCAGAACATTCATGATGGCAGCACTGCATTTGTTTCCTGCCAGTAAAAAGACAAAGTAAACTTAACATTTTTACCTTGAGCTGCGCTTGGTGACCAGCAGCAGATTGTTAAAAAGAAATAAATAGACCGGTTGGTAGAGTTTACGACTCCGCATGGTCCGAGTGCTCTTTGGTCCAGCCATCAGCTGCACTTCCCCCTTCTTTAGCAACCAGCGTGAGTGAGAAATGATGGGCACAGACTACAGGGGTTAAAAGAAGTCAAAGATATGAGTATAAAGTCAAATCTACAGTAATGTACACAAAACTGCTCTTTATGGTTCCTGCCATTCTGAATGATTTGTGTTCAATCACTGTTGACATTAAAGGACCAGAAATGGAATATACTATTAATGTGTGAATAATCACATATAACTTTATAATTGTATTGTTTACTTTTAGTGAAAATGAGCCTTTCTGTCTGCAAAATGTTTAATGCATGGGTCAGAGTTAACGTAAAAGTGTGCACATTTTCAAGTTTGTTTTTATAGATCACAACTTTTGCCTGAAAAGTGTCATACACACAAAATGGGGTAAGATGTGTAACAGTGCGCAACAGTTATAAATTTAAAAAACCCCAGGGCCTTTAAAATAACAGACTGATTTATGTATTTGGTGTAAACACATAGTTTTCCCACTTTGTGATAACCATGTCAGCAGCGGCTCATGTTATGAACTGGATAGAGACAAAGGTGCAACATCAACAGACCCAAATCCCTCAATGAATCTGCCATCAAGAAAATTAAACAGTGTGACTTCATTACAATAGGAAATACAAGACAATAAGACTTTGTTTACCTTGGATTTAAACTCCAGTGTTTTCTCTATCGTAATAAGCTCCTCCGTACGACTCATTTTTCTCACTCCCTCGTTACACTCTTTCACAATCTGAGGAAGACATAGATATTCACCATCAGTCAATTACATTCAAACATCACGCACCTTGTTTTCTCCTCTTTTTTTTTCTCTTAGTAATCTTCATCTTCTTTATCTACACAGCTGGAGTCAATCCCAGCTGGCATTGGGCGAATGCAGCCTTCACCCTGGACAAGTCGCCCATCCATCACAGGACTGTTTAGAGATAGAAAACATTCACAACTCCCATTCACACCTATGGACAATTTAGTCTCCAATAACCTGCATGTCTCTGCCATTTGACTGTTGGAGGAGTGTGTGTGTGTTTGTACAAATGTAATGTATCTTACTCCGAATCGTATAGCCCAATGCTAAAATCTACTAATTGTTTAGTTCAATAAAATGGAGACAGGAAAACCCCACTCTTAACAGTGGATTTTTAAATCCAATCTAAAATCTTTGAGAAATGTAACCATGTAAAATGGGAAGTTACTTTTGTCTTTAGACTGAAAGAAGCCCTGCAGGGGATTGATATCCAAACAGAGAGTTGTCAGACACAAGGAACACTGCACACTTATCAACGTGACATTGTTTTGTCTCTAATCTCTATGTGAACGCTAGGGCAGCAGTAGCTCAGTCCATAAAGATTTGGCTTGGGAACCGGTGACCGGTTCAATTCCAGCATGGACCATAAGTATGGAAGGTGGACTGGTAGCTGGAGAGGTGTCAGTTCACCTCCTGGGCACTGCTGAGGTGCCCTTGAGCAGGGCACCATACCCCCCCAATTGCTCACAGGGCGCTTCTCCTGGGGCTGCCCATCACTCTACAATCTCTCTCCAAAAATGTGCATGTCTTTGAGCCCTCTGTGTGTGGGATTGGGTTAAACTGCATGTATAAAAATGTAAAATGAGTGTAAAAAGAATTTCCTCCTTGTGGGATCAATAAAGGAAGTTTAAGTTAATAACACCAGTTATGTACATCTTAACATACACATCTTAACAGACCTGGAATGTGTGCTTGTATGAATGTGTGTGCTCAGCCATCACAGTGCATAAATAAAACCAACATAAACAGTCATGACATACATTGATATAATCATCATAGCGACCTCACTGGGCCCAGCTCCCTGACTGACCTGCTCCAGCTGCTGATGTGCTTTTATAGCATTTGTTTCCCTCTCTGAGCCCTCCTCAGCCTTCTTCAGGATATTCTGAAAACAAATGATTGAACAATGGTACCTTTGACATGTGTCCAAAAATATATTCAAACTTATTTCTGAATCTCGTCAATTTACTGTAATGTCTTATATTCATGTTGGTACACTCACCTGAACAAGCAGCTTGAGCCTTGTGATCCTCTGGAATGGAAGGATGAGGAATGACGTGAAGGACAGGCCCCTGACACAAGGATGATTCTCCAATGCAGCCATGGCCTCCCGAAAAGCCTGGTTCCCCTCTCTGGACACACAGGCATAAGAAAACAGTGATCACACAGCTCTGCCCCCCGCACACACACACACACACTCACTCCATCCTTGTAGTTGACCTAAAGAATAGTGCTCGTCACTACTTTTTCCTTTGTCACATAAAGGACAAGAACTTCCTGCTAAACCTGAGCAAACAAACTAAATGTTTAACAAAAGCCCCATGAGTCACCATAAAACACAGTGTGGTCTGCAAATACAAAATATACTTATCATTCAGTCAAACCTTTATTTATACATGGAATCCCTCTGAGCAAGATCTCTTTTTAGGCACACCCTGATTACATTACTGTGCAGAAAGAAAAATCCACAAATGTAAAAAAAAAAATAGACACATAATAAACAAATAATATAAGACATATTGAGTCAATAAAAGCAGTATATGTACGCTATAAAAAGCTAAGTTAAAATACACTAGCCTGAGATGGCAAAAGATGAAATGGATTAAACTCTAATTTCACTTGTTCCTGCATGTTGTTTCACTGGTGTGGAGCATAACACACAAAACAATTTTCCTATCTCATTGTTGATGAATGAGGAGCCATTATTCCTGAAGCTGTCCTCATTTATGAATTAATCCCAATGATAAACTGCATCTACAGGTTTGAGAGTAATACACAACATTTTTGTAATAGGCTGCATTCTTTTTAAAAAAATCATAGGGCATTTGTATAAAACATTCAAACACACTGAAATAGGAGGAGGTTGTTTATTAATCGAGGTCTAATCTCAGTTGCAGATTAATACATGTTAATGTAGTGTTCTAATGTGTCACTGATATGACTTTAAATTGCACATGACTTGTGAATTCTTCCATATCAATATGTGCAGTAGTCAAACATGATGTTCTGTGCAAAGAGTATCAAATCAAGGAGACAGCAGGAACAACAGGACACCGGTTGCTATGGAAATGAGGAATTCAGTCATATACTGTATGTGTTTGAGCCAGATTAAATGATTTAAACAACATCAACCAAAAATACAAAAAAGCAGATTCACCACAGTCGAGCCGACAAGCGGGCAAATGGTGTTTACCAACTGTTTACCAGTGTTACAAGTTATTAAACAGTTGGTTCAGCTCATCACTGACTCTTGTCTTTAAAAGCTTTACGATGAATAATTATTTTGTGTTTCACCTGTAATGTTTCATGTTGTTATTCTTTTAACATTGTCTTCGAGTAGTGACTGTCAATCATTCATCAGAGGTAACGCCCAGCAACATTCTGTTTGGACAATTTTACTGCCAAAGGGTTTGAAGACCCAGCGTCTGAACCAGGAAATAAAGATGATCAAAATCATGAAGAGATGAGATATGATGGCCCTTACCTTTAATTGCTAATAAACAGCAATGCAGGTTTTTTTTTTATTATAGATAAATTCATGGTTGTATTTGGTCTTTTTATGGGACCTGTTTAACAATAAGAAAAACATATATCCAGTTATATCCTTTAAAGATAAGATCCAGCAGTGAAGCCTTCAACAGGATGTAGATATTGCCTGGAATGTTCCATTTTCAAACATTGTGTAATATGATTTTGGTTAATTTGCCTAAAATATGTGCAATGGATCATGCACTTAAGTCTTATGGGAAAAGGTTCTGTAAAAAAACAGTAGAAAAGCCCCCTCTCCTGTAACCCTGTTAGTGAATGTGAAGTAATGGAGCAAATCGCCTTTGCTTCATGATATGCAACCTGGAAATAATCTGTCCTGGAATGAATGGCAGTGAAAAGCTCTTAAGAGGAAGAAACATGCTTCACAGCTGAGAAAGAAACAGCTCCCCTCCTCCCAACTATCACAATCATTAGTCACTTGCTTCTTTCACAGTTTTGTCACATGCTTCCCACAACTAACTAACTAACATTTCTACGTTGCAGCTCATCTATGGATGTGATTGTATGTGACAAGTAATTAGGCCTGGCACTCCTGACTCCTGCTGCCCCGACAAAACATCTGATGGACTTCATCAGTGGTGCATTTCCGAAATGTTGCTTTTGAACTAACCACAGGCAACAATATTCTCTGAACATGCAGTATTTTATATTTCATTTTTAAACAAACAGCCAGTCTCAAAGGTTTTTCGTTGGCTGCCATCTGAGGTAGCTGCCCTCTGCAGTGCATGGGAACATCACACTCTCACTCAGGTATGTGTGGTTGATGAAGAGGGAAACGTTTATTATATTCATACTCAACCACACCCTGCACATCACATTCGTCATGACTACAACAAACCTGTTCTCCGAAAAGTGACAGCGTTTCCTACGCACAAAAAAATAAATGCATGAAGGATTACGCCTATTATTCTTACGCATAGTTCCTCTCTCTCCAAGCATGTATTCATTATAATAGTCAAGCAGCCCACAGCACTATTCTGAGCACAGGTCTCATGTTTGTGGTTGCTTTCAAAAAGGAAATGTCCAAAGTCGAACATCACAATAAATGCCACCAATTGCTTCAACTGGAAATTAGCATGTGACTCATGTACCAATCCACAGACAACTGCACATAGTAACAGATGTATACAAAAAACAGTTACTCACAAAATACGTCTGTAGTTCTTTTCCTGGTAAACCTGGTTGATAACGTATTTGATGAAGACACTGAAGTGTTCCACAGCATGGTGGTAAACAATGTCGCACACATCAGAAATTAAAATGGACTCCTCAATTCGGTGCTCGAGATCCATGAGGAACCTGTAAATATTAAGGGACCATGACTCAGGGATGGATTGAAACTTGGTACAGTCAGATGTAAATTACAAACAGATAAGAGAATGTTAAAAAAGACCTTGTCCTACCTTTCACTGGCTTTCATGACCTCCTCAATGTTGGAGAAGAGAAAATGCATGTCGGATTGGCTGAGAGTGTTGACTAAAGCAGGGTTACGTAGGAAGTGAGTCTCTAAAATCTCCAAACTCTTGTAGTACGATGCCTCTGAGGTAACAAGCTCAAACATGGCCTATGGACAGAAAAGCAAAGCAAAAGGCACATCAATGCTGATGGTGGTTCCCTGCATGCAGTAAGCATTTGATATGATGAGTGATGTCCTGCTGGCACAGCTGACTCTAGTACACACGCAATGCACCTGAGAGAAATTATGCTCCAGGTGAACTTCAGTGTTCCACTGAGACATAGGAAGTTCATCCTTCACCTGTGGGAACTGTATGTGTACTAAAATAATCTCTGTGCAAAGGTCCACTCTCTAGTTTTTTTAAGGATTCAATAACATCTCATAATCTTGTAGATCGTTAGTTATCAGAGAAGCTAGTTCAGTAAAAATCTTTAAACGAAAACTTAAAACATTTCTCTTTACTTCAACCTGTTACCTGATCTTTCACTTGCCTGCATTCCTGCACACATTATTTATCACTTTCGGCCTTTATGGGTTTATTCATTTTTAAAATTAATTTGCCTTAATTTTACAAGCATCAATTAACATTTATCAGGATTCATATTAATATTCACCAACATTGTTTTTGATCTATATTTTATGTAAAGCACATTCAGCTGCATTTCTAGTATGAAATGTGTCATACAAATTAAGTTTTTTATTATGGTTATTATGGCTAATGTGTGTGTGTGTGTGTGTGTGTGTGTGTGTGTGTGTGTG